ATACATCTAAAGCAGTGTTTCTAAACCTTGGCAACTTAAAGATGTGTGGACTTCACCCCCCAGATTCCCCCGCCTAGCATGGCTGGCTGGGGATTTCTGGGAATTGAAGTCCACACAACTTCGAGCTGCCAAGGTTGAGAAACACTGCTTTAGATGTATGGCATTCAGCACCCAATATTCTTAGCCATGACCATACCAGCTGGAGAGTTCTGGAAGTCTACAACGTTGTGCAAGGCTGGGCTGGAAATACTGGGTTAGTCAACCCAGTGGGATAGATGAGCAAACTGCTTCACAAACTCTGTCCTTGGATTTATGGCAGGCATGCCAACCTGGGTCTCATTGCTGGGGTTGCGGTCAACAGATTTAGAGGGCCCTCTGGCTTAGCAGGTGTCCCAAGAGCTCTCAGTTGTGATGATTCTAGGTGTGTTCTCTCAACTTGATTTTGCAACAATGTGCTGCAGGTGACGGCTCAGGACGTGCGCAAAGAGAGCCCATTGCTTTTCAAATTTCGGGCCAAGTTCTACCCAGAGGATGTTGCAGAGGAATTGATACAAGATATTACCCAGCGCCTCTTCTTCCTCCAAGTGAAGGAGGCCATCTTGAATGATGACATCTACTGTCCCCCAGAGACTGCTGTTCTCCTGGCTTCTTATGCTGTCCAGTCCAAATATGGGGACTTTAATAAGGAGGTTCATAAGCCTGGCTATCTAGCTACTGACAAACTGCTTCCTCAAAGGTATAATAAAATCTGGCAAAGCTTTTTTTAAATTCTTTAAATGCGTAGCTATTGATTTTATTATTCAGTTTTTATCCCACTTTTCTTTTGTACAGTCTTGATGTTATTCCTCAGTGGGTAAGCCTCACCCTATCTGTTTTGAGGTTGGTTGGGTTCATACATTGTGCTCAATTGTGGTTTGCTGAATAAACCACAATTAAATGAGTTGCCATATGGTGTTAAGACACAAGTCAAGTTGTGCTCAGCACAATGTGTGAATCCAGCCCAAATCCCTTTGGTGTGTGTTCTTTCATTTGTTTCTTTTCCTCAGTAAATTGATATTTAGATCCCAAGCTGAATTGCATTTGAACTACCACCTGCCGCAATGGTCAGAGAAGTGTGAAATATATTGGATTTAGTCAGGTTCCAGTTGACAATTCAGTAGGAAAGGTGCAGATCAGAATTTTTCAGGTGCGACAAGGGTACCGAAAGCTGGTCATGTCTGGCTTTCAGAGCCCCCACAGTGGCCAGAAACTAAAATATTAGCTGATTTTGTGTTTGGGGAACTTGAGGAAGATTTTAAGAGACAGAGTGGGAGACTTAAGCCTTATAGATGTCTAAAGCAGCCATTCGGAAAAGCTCACCTCCAAATTGGGCCTGCTTTGGACTCTTGCCCCATCTATATCTAGCGTGTGGTCCTCCCACAGTTGCAAAGCCTAGCGTAACAGGACTTACACATCCTAATGTAGGAATTGTTGAAGGTTCGATTCTTCCAAACTTATATGCGTTCCTTGCTTTAAGGGGGCCCTCCCTGGTTGCAAGGCTCAGATCCTGTCCTTTTTGAAACATGAGACACAACTCCATTGTGAGAACTTTCAGGACGCTGGATGGGCCGATGATAGCTCCAAATGTGATTGGATGCAAGACAGAAATGCACCTTTAATTCTCACTACCCAGATTGAGCGCCATGCCTCCAGGGGTCCTGTGTGTGTGAGTTTCAAGCAGGGCCACCACACACACACAGCCTGATCTGTAGTAGACAGAAATCTGGGTGTTATGTGGGGCAGTTAGCCCTCATGAGGAAAATAGAAGCAGAGATGGTGTGATGGAGACAAAGGTGTGTGTATTCAACCTCTCCTTACCAGCTCTCTTGCGGGCACATACTTCTGATGGGCGTATGGACTGCCAGCTGAAGGGAACCCTCCCAGCGGCCTTAATGGTATTGTTAGACTCATTGGCAAGATCTTGGCGGAATTTCCCCACATGCTCAGTGCAGCGTGGTTTGACAGGGCTCTGGGCTCATTCCCAGCGCAAGGCTCTCAGATACCTGGCACGGGATGGCTAGATAAGAATCCTTATTGTGTACTAAGAAGCCGTTAAAGCGGTTGATTGCCCATTTCAGTTTAATTCTAGTGCTTCTTTCTCCTACCCTCCCTGTGGACATTTCTGGCCTGCATTTCTCAGCCTTGAAGCGAGAGACTGATGGTTATTGACATAACTGACATTTCTGCCCTGAGAAATTCTGGCTGTCAGCTTAACTCCCATACTGAGTTTGGTGAGGTATGGGTTCTCAGTGCTTGCTTGTGTTTGCCCCATTTGTCCCTTACACTTCACAATCAGAGTTATAGATGTGGAAATATGGAAAAAGAAAATGACTGAAATTAAAAATATCTGGGAGATTTGAGTAACACCTGTGAGCGCTCATGGCCTATGCAACATCCTCCCCACCTGTCAATTTTGTGCCTGCCAGATGAGAGGGACTACAAGCCCCATATGAGTCAGCAGCATTGTTTGTGGACTCTGCTGGTGGGACCTTATGGCTGCTAAATCAGCACGCCCTACAAGGGTTGAATGGTAGGTTGAGCTATGTTCAACCATCTTGAAATGATCAAATGTGGAACTTAGTCTGATATGATGCAAGACATGGGATAGGCAAATAATCTCTTTGGAATACATCTCCGAAAAACAGGTTCTTCTCTTTTGCTCTGGTCACAAACGTGGCTTCTCTATCACCGCAGCAGGAGTAAAGGTTGCCAACTAGGAAACTGCATGGACTGCTTTTATAGCCATGTTTGCAGTGTTGCTTTAAGGGCTGGAAAAGAGCTATTCTGAAAAATTGGAGAACAGTGTCAGGAGGAGAAAGCATAGGGAAGTGCACATCTCTGGAAGATGAGATATTTAAAAGCACACCAAAGAGAGGTTCAAGCCTGTGTCCATGTCAGGCCTAGCCCAAGGAACTCCAAGAGACAATGCAAAATCAGTTCAGCTATGTTTA